GGTACTCGGCTGACATGACCCAAGCCGAGTTTTTCGGCGCTACCCCTCGATCCGTGTTCCTCTACATGGGAAGCGTCTTCCTCGCCTTCTACCTCTACACTAGGCTGCTCTATGTTCCGATTGTAAGTTATAATGGCTTATTTTAATGCTTATGTAGCCGAAATATGTCTATTCGCAATTTCTAAAGATTTTTTCAGGACAAGAATAACGAGGCGTGCCTCGACGGAGACCTCTTGTGGTGGGACCGACAACAGGGCCGAATGCAGTTCACTGCCGGAAGTGGCATCCTCTCCCCGACCATTGGAATCGAATTTTAACTGGCTCGCAGTGTCATTAGATAGTTGTCGTTTTATACTACACCTCATTTGTCCTTTGTATAATCGCCTTATCATCGTGGACTTGTAAAAAGCTGTGTTTATTGGATGTTCGCCGAATAAATAGATTACGATTTTTCGATTGTTGAGTCCTTTTGTACGAATTTCATTTGTTATTTGGGCAAGTCCTAAACGCGGTCAACCCTTTGTATAGTCGATGAGCGAAGACGTCATCAAGGAGGTGATACGCCAAGCCAAAAAGTTACTTTTCGAGAAGAAAGATGAAGCCGCTATGGAGCTATGCGAGGTTTCTAGGATTTCCGTCTACAAAAATTCGTTGCAGAAACATATCGATGATGGCGTCAAAGATTACATGATCTACTGTTTCGCGGCCCTCGCGAATGCAAATCAAAACTACCCTGTCGATTCATCCACACATTATATAGAGGTAAAAATCACTACTTTTTCACTAACGTCTCATAGGCAATAAAAATAGACGCGTCAAAGCCGATTGCCTGGCAGGGTCTTTTCAAGCTGTATGACAAACAGGGACTTCCGGTGGATGAACGAGCTATTGAAACTGCTGAAAAGGCGGCAACCTTTGCGTGAGTTCCTTGGTTTTAACCACAATTCTGCTATTGTAGTGCAGATGACGAGAAAAAGGAATACTGTCTACAGAAGAAACGAGAGTTCCTTTTGACGCTGAAACGCTTTGTAGACTTGAAGGTATTACAAAAGTTGTTTATAACTTTCCTTAGGAAGATCCGGGCGAAGATCCTATTTTGATGGGGAAGCTGATCGAAGTGCTTACAGAAAGAGAAAATAAAAGTGAAAGCGAAAAATCATTGGTACGGATTGAGGTTCACAAAAAAACCATTCTCGCCTAGCTTCTGCAAGCTTTCAAAACCATTGGCTTCGAACTGGTATGGAAGGATGTGGATTTGCATCGCCGCTACGTGAAATATCAATACGAGGTAACAAACGCTAAATTTGTATTTTTTACTGTCTTTAGATTTCTAAAACTTATTGCGACTGGGAGCAGGAATTTATGCGTTTTTGTGAATTCCATCCGAAACAGAAGCTGGACACTTGGATGTGTAAGTCGAATTGCTCCGTGCGATTTTATTGACTTATATGCAGATGAGAGGCTGGATTATTTGATCCATATCGGCGTTCTGGTTCAAGGGGTGGTCAACGAAAATCTTTTGGACGTCTACAACCGCACTCACACTGATGAGGAGGATGACTTCGTGAGTTTTAGTCATCTTTTGACATTTTGTCGTTTCTACAGCCCCTCAATCTTCTCGACGCTCTGAACGATGAAGATTGGGATGATGCAGCTGGGATAGTGCTGGAAATCCCTGAACTGAGCCTTGTAGAAAACGGCTTGCAGCCTGCAATTTATACGGCGGTTCGTGTGATGTACGAGGATGAAAATTACGAAAAGTTTGTTGTTTTCCTCGAAATGTAACATTGTTAGATGCCTATCTTATATCGCCCTGGCACAACAACGCACAAGCGACCCATTATTACGTGAACAGCTACATGGATACCGCGCCGCGTCGCTATTGGGCCTGATGACTCCAGAGTCCCTGAGAATTGGCCTTGGAATGTGTCCGTTGACGCCGAAGTAAATCCAATCACTTGGCATTAATCCTGTTTAGATTCGAGTATTCTGAAATCCTCCTGAACTTCCATAGTGGCCGTGAAGTGGTTGTCTCCGATATCAAGTCTGAAGCCAATCGATTGAGGTTTTCATTGTTTCAAGCTCTAAGAAATGGACAAGACGCTGAGGCGAAGAGCATTGCGCTGGAAAGCGAGAAATTCGTATGTTTCCCCTTTTTTAATGAACTTTTTCCTCAGGATGGAACGCAGACCTGGCAAGACAACCTGATGCGTGCGGAAGCCAATTTGGCCGACGAGGCGACGCTGAAGCAACTTGTCGATCTCGGCCAAGACCATCCGAGTTGCGCGAAGGTTTTCTACTTTTTGGCTAAGGCGCTCCGAGGCAAAAATGTGACAAAGGTAAGTTTTCGTATTCCTGACCTTAAATTCCATTTAGGCTAAATCGTGTGCGGAAAGGGCCGTAAGTCTGAAAGAAGGATGCGAAGAATGCATATTGCTTTTGGACGATATCCTCATAGAGACTGGTTAGTGACGGGCGAGTTTGATTGAATGACTTTTAGGCACCTCTCCATCCGTTCGTCTGGCTCAGCTCGAAAAGATGACGAAGCGCACACACTGGCTTCAGGAGCGCCTCTATCCGCTTTATCTCGGCGCCGGGCAAATGTTTGTCTCCATAAAAAATTATCACGGTTGTATAGAGACAAGGCGATCAACTCTCTACAACATCTCCTCCGCGACAACCCCGAAGATGCACACCTCTGGGGCGAATTGGGGGCTGCCTACCTGCAGCGAGGCAGTCTACAAGCCGCCGTCAATGCTTATCTCGAGGCAGCCAGGCTTCAGCCGGACAGTGATTATATCCTTCCGGTCGGTTGATTAATACTATCGAGGATTCATGCTTTTTAGATGCTTCACGTTCTATTTCGTCTGGGAAATGTGGACGAGTTGCTGGAGCACGCGGATAATTGGCGAGCCACTCGGAACGCTGACATCGACGGCGATAAAGATGCCCATTTCTTCGTCTCGCTTTTGGAGATCCAGGCAAAGTTCACGAAATGCAAGGAAATGACAGGCTCGGAAATGATTGGTAACTTCATTTGCTAAAATAGTGATGTTTTATTTAGAAGCCCTACAGGAAATCTATGACAAGCTGGGCGCGCTATTGGACAAACGGCTTCCTTATACCATTCTGTATAAAACCGCGGCGGACATACTCATCTTTTGCGCCTCTTTCCATACGGACGTCTTCAGCCAATTAAATGTAAAAGTTTTTGGTTTCCTGGAAACAAGTGATTCAGTTTCCGGCTACTCTCACCATCAAGGAGCCGGCTGACTGCTGGAAAGGAGCGATTTCGCTGTTGGGCGCTGTGCTTTCTGCCAAGAACGATTCCGCATCTGCGTGGGCGGATATCGGGATAGCCTTGACATTGGGTAGCCGAGCTTTGGCTTCAATACCTTATGCTAAAAAGTAAGCTTTTGATAGCTTTATTTGACGATCGTGCTTAGGGCCGTGAGCTGCCTGAAACAAGCGATTCGTCTGAGCGATGACGCCGGAATGCGCTCGATTTATTGGGGCAAATTGGGAGATGCTCTATCGGCTAAAGAAGCCCCCTTCCCGCAACAGCAGCATGCCTACCTGCGGTGGGAATCATGATTTTATGGGATCATTCCGTTCAGGGCAATTGAATTGAATCGTGCCAACTCGGAGGCCTGGTGTCGTCTCGCCTTGTTGTACGAAAAATTTGTAAGTCGACCCCCCCTCTTATGTCAATATGTATTCCTAGAACCTGCATAGTGAATCAAAACAGGCATGCGAAACCGGCCTGAAGATCAACCCGGAATGTGGATTTATTTGGACAGTTTACGTTGGTTTTTTCATGCTAGTATAAAAATCGGATTTAGGGACTGTTAGCGGCGTATGATGCGAAGACTGTGGCCCATGAGCCGGCAATATTGGCTGATTTGGACGCCGTCGCCATCGACTCGTTTTGCCAGGCCTTGACCTATCGTCCGACGGTATTTGTTGCGTTTTTCTCTGATAAGATTTTTTAGGAAGTTGCTGTCGAAGAGCTCTCTTCTTTCCTCGCTCACTCGGCCCGTCATTTCGATGCGGCTGGCTCTCGAATCAAGTTTGAGAAGGTGTTGGCGCTGCTTGGTAACCTTTTCTATCTTTCTAAAATCCGTTTAGATCGGGGTGATCGCGCGCCACATTTCGTACTGCGGCTGACACTGTTGGCGGAGTGTTTTGGCTACTTCGATGAGGCATTGGACATCCTGATGTCGTCGGGTCTCTCCGAATTGGCCCAACGACAGATTGCGCGATTGAAACTGTGGGATCGCATTTTCGAAAGCAAATACTTTGTTTAGCTATCGAAACGAAAAACCGGAAAGCAGATGCCCCGTTGAACTGGAGGGATTGGCCAACCTCGCTTCACTTCCTTCTGAGCAATTAGCTGGTAAGGTCTTGACGTTTGTCATAAATTATTTTCCAGATTTACTTGGAGCAAAAATGCCTGTATACAATAGCATCTTCGAGAAATTGGCTACTGGCGAGGGATTGAACGCGCTTTGTCGGTACGCCAAGCCGCCGATCCACATTCCACTTGTCATTTCATATATCTTGGCTTACAAAAAGGTTATTATTGAGCTTACGCCTTAAGCTATATAACATTTTAGGAGCTCCACAAAGCTAGCATTAATGCCCTGCACGACGTTCGCCCGCGTCATGAATTTTTGGATGTTTGGCCAATCGAGGTATAGAACCTTACATTAATTTCTAATTTCTGTTTTTAGGTGGATGACGAGCTTGACAATGAGCTGAGTTATCTGGAAGACGATGGGGAAGAGCCGTTCCGTCTTCGACACCAATATGCTAAAGTACTGCCCACTTTTGTAAACTAATGTTCCTTTTCAGAATCTCCACAAGTGGCTTGCTGAACGTCGGGCAATTTGGGTCGCCGAGCATCCTAAAGAGCCCAATCAAGATGTGATTTCTGTACTAACCGAATAGTTTTTGTTATACTCTCTTTTAATTGTATTTTTTCGTTCTTGTTACGGGTTTTTCTGTGTCCCGGCAATTGCGTCATTGTTTCCACCCCCGGTTTGCCGAATATTTGCACAATGTTTGCACACCCTTGAACAGCTGTGATAATACTTCTGGTCCCAATACTTCGTTTTCTTCCTGGGTAGCTTGTATCTTTTCCGGTTCTCTGTGTATTACTGTATATGAAAATAAAAATTAATAAATTTGTGGGCGCCATGATCAATGCAACGTTTTTCAAAATGTTATGGTTACTTGGCCATATTTGCGAAGAATTTATTGCTTTTGGGCAGGTTTCTTGCCCTTGACGGCAAGTTACGGGGGAGCGCTTCCGCGTGGCGGGTACGCGTGTTTCCTCTCTCTTTCTCGAGCGAGTGCGGCCGGTCCCGTCCTCGGGCGCCCTTTCAGTCTCTTTCCGAGTCCATAGGACGTCTTTTTCTCGCATTTCACAGCCCGAATTCCATCGCAGCCGTTTCCGATTCTTCTCCAACCTTTTTCAAATTGATCATGTTGGTTTGCTCCTAAATAGCTTATTGAAAACCTGAATTTCTGGAGCCCAGTGTAGAAAATAGATGCGTTTCCACTAGCTTTCCTTTTACCTTCATAGGATTCAGCACTATTCACTTAAAAAAGTCTATTTATTTTACTTCCTCATGATTTATTGAGCGTCTATTTCATTCAGTTGGGAGGCCTTGCTCCTGGTGCCCCTTTTTGGCCCGAGTGCGCAACGAGACAGAAGCCAAGGATAGCGCGCGCACTCACCGAACACCTCGGTTGTTTTCGCGCGGTCCGTTGCGCGGGAGTTGGGCTTGCGCGGCCCCATGCGCGGCTCTCGGAAAATGCGCGAGAGGGACGCGGCTGAATGCGCGGGACCGCGCTTTCTGTCGCGCAATTAGTCGCGGAAGGAGAATGCGCGGTCCCGCGCATTTCGTGCATGGTTTCTAGACGTACTAAATGAAAACCTCGAGGCTTTTAGCGTATTTTCGTTAAATTTAGTTTTATTTATAGATATTTATGTCTTTGCTGGAACCAATGCTGTTTTTTGCACTGAAGACCGGAGGTATCAGGTGAGGTTTATCATTTTCATGGAATTTAGGATTTGCAAATGCTGATATTTGATGACAAACGATCCATGGTTTAGCTTCGGCAAGTTTTTTATTTATTTTTCAACAAAACTGCACTCTCAGATTAATGAATGCACTGTCAAAGGCCCCGGTATCGGTAATTTGTGGCATGTGGCATAATTCCAAGAAGAGACGCGGATGATCAGGAGTAAGTAAGACTGTAAGACTTAAGTCTGATTCATTATTGTTGTCAGGAGAATTTAGGCAATGAAGTTGGTAAAAACAACTATCTCCCCAACGAATATAGGATGACCACGGTAAGTCAGAAACGTTAGTGATGCAAAGGTAAGTCGAACCAATACTGTAAGTCTGAATCTATCTAGCAAATTAGCTAACAAAATAAATAGTATTTAACTCAATTCTTAGGCACTCGCTTCGAACGAGGTGGGTCAACAGTTATAAAAAGCTAGTTTTCAAATGCTAAGGACAAGCCTAGGTTCCTCGACAGCACCTCAACTCTTCTTGCGGAAAACAATCTTTTAAAACTGTTTTTGTGTCATTACCCCGGTATAAATGTATAGCTACTCATACTCCATCTACTCACAGTAATACCTGCTCCAAACGCAGGTTTAATAAGTAATATAAGAGCTTTAAAAGGAGGAAAAGCGCCCCTGGGCCAGTTGACGGCGAGAGCCGCGCAAAGTCCCGCGCATTCGCAGGTCCCGCGCATTTGACCGGCGCTCCCCCAAATGCGCGGGACCGGGTCCCTGCCAGTCTCCGGTCCCGCGCATTTGGTCGCGCAACGGACCGCGCAAAAAGAACCGAGACGGAGCCGCACGAATTTCACCCCTGTCCAAAGAGAGCGTCGAATTTCCCAACTTCCCCGGCCCTCGCTTCTGGCAATTTGTAAATAGCACCCGGTACACCCGGGTTCTGTTCTATTTCGCGGGGGAGAAAAAACTGTGCGGGGGGGGGGGAATTTTCCTAGTTTTTTTATAACTCTTTTATATGATGCTATTTTGAATTGCAGTTAAAACTCTTAGTATATTTTTTGACGCTCTATCGAATGGCATTAAAGAAATTTTTGAAAGTTATCGAAAATGTCGAAAACTAGCTTTCGACTACACGATCCCATGTGGAAACACCGAATAAACCTTGTTTTTGCTATAACTATTTTATAAAACAATATTTTTAGATGAAATTAAAACCCTTAGTATATTTTTTGATGCTCTATCGAATGACAGGTTCAAAATATCGCAAAAATGTCCAAAATGCCGAAAACTAACATTCCGGAAGGAGTTTCAATAGTTTTTTTTTTGTTTTTGCTGTAACTTATTTATATTACAATATTTTTAGCTAAAACAAAAACTCTTAGTATATTTTTTGATGCTCTATCGAATGGCGTTGCAAAAATCCCGAGAAAATAGCGAAAAAATGCAAGGTTCCGCGAAGCATATTTTCCCCCGCACAGTTTCCCCCCGCGAAATAGAACAGAACCTACACCCGTTTCGCGATAGCAGGGAAAGGGCAGAGAAACGCAGACAAAAATGTCTGCACTCTCGCGCTACGCCCACTCTTTTTGTCCGGGTGTACCGGGTGTACCGGGTGTACTTTACTAATCCTAACTATTCACGCAATTCTCAATTATTATTGACAATCTATTCATACTTTTCTGAATGAAATAAAGGTCAAGAACAGGCTGGTTGAAGCTATCTGTTCTTTACCCCAGGTTACACCATCCATTCTCATTCACTAACACTCATGTCTTCCTGTCCAACTTCCCTTTATCATGGGAGCCTTTCCATTCATACTTTTCAGCATGGCTGCCGAACTGGAGGCTGAGATCGTCGCCCAGGGCGAACTGGTGCGCAAGGTGAAGGGCGACCCCGAGAGCAGTGAAGCCGACAAGAAAGAGGCCATCGAGAAGCTGCTAGCCCTGAAACTTTCGTTCAAGGTTTATTTTACTTTGTGTAACATAACTATTAATGTTTAGGAAAAAACTGGACAGGAGTACCAGGCTCCCGGAGGCGGGCGACGCGACAACAAGAAGGGCGGAGAGAACAAGAAAAAGGTATTGTTTGATTACGCCGCTTTTACATAGGTTCTAGGAAGAGAAACCGAAACAAGCCAAACTTGAAGAGGCCAAGGGAGATGGAAAGAAGAGCAAGCTGGGTATCGAGACAAAGAAGGACGACAATTACTCCGAGTGGTATTCTCAGGTGCACTGATATTTCTTTATTCCTTTATTCCGGTATTTAGGTGATCACAAAGGCTGAAATGATTGAGTACTACGACGTCTCCGGCTGTTACGTGCTGCGCCCTTGGTCATACGCCATTTGGGAAATAATTCAGCAGTGGTGAGGCGCGCTTCTGGATAAAATTTATGTTCTTTAGGTTTGATGCCGGAATCAAGAAGCTCGGCGTGAAAAATTGCTACTTCCCGATGTTCGTTTCAAACGCTGCCCTGGAACGCGAGAAGACCCACATCGCCGATTTCGCCCCGGAGGTACCAATGCGGATTCTGGAAAATATACATTTGTAGGTCGCCTGGGTCACGAGGGCCGGAAACTCGGAAATGGCCGAGCCAATTGCCATCCGCCCCACATCGGAGACTGTGATGTACCCCTCGTACAAGAAGTGGGTCCAGTCGCATCGCGACTTGCCGATCAAGCTCAATCAGTGGTGCAACGTTGTGGTGAGTTTAGAAGTCTCTTCTATGCCTTTCCCATTTTCAATCAATGTTCTCATTTTCAGCGCTGGGAGTTCAAGCACCCTACTCCATTCCTGCGTACCCGTGAATTCCTTTGGCAAGAAGGTAAAATAACTATTTATTGCATAAACACTTAATTTAGGCCACACCGCCTATGCTAACGCCAAGGATGCCGAGGAGGAGGTTTTCAAGATCCTCGATCTCTACGCTGGCGTCTACACAGATCTACTGGCCGTTCCCGCGGTCAAGGGACGCAAGTCGGAGAAGGAGAAATTCGCCGGTGGCGACTTCACGACGACTGTTGAAGCATACGTGCCTGTGAATGGACGCGGTATTCAGGTAGGGAAACGCTTTTGTGCCCATTTTTCTTTAGGGAGCCACATCTCACCACCTTGGCCAGAACTTCTCCAAAATGTTCGACATTTCGTTCGAGGACCCCAGTGGGAATGGCCAAAAGGTATTTTATTGGTAGCCTAAGCATTAGCAACAGATATTTTAGATGTTTGCCTACCAAAATTCGTGGGGACTTTCCACCAGGAGCATCGGCGCGATGGTAATGATCCACGCCGATGACAATGGTCTCGTGTTGCCTCCCCGCGTGGCCTGTATTCAGGTATGCAACCTTGGTTGTTGATAAACACTTTTCAGGCCATTGCTCTCACAGTCGGAATTACTGCCCAAACCAGCGAAGAACAGCGAAATGAGATTACCCGGGCCACGGAGAGCATCGTCGCTCAGTTGGTCGAAGGTGGCGTTCGGGCCGAAGCCGATCTCAGGTATTTCATTCACTTGAAGTATTATTGTTTCTTTTTAGGGACAACTATTCGCCCGGCTGGAAGTTCAACCACTGGGAGCTGAAGGGTGTGCCGATCCGTGTCGAGGTATTTACTTTTAATTGATTGTTTGCAACATGTTTTCGTTCAGATTGGCCCCAAGGATCTGGCAGCCAACCAGGTGACGGCCGTCATCCGATTCAGCGGCGAAAAGAAGGCCATCAAGCGCGATAACATTGTCGAGTCGTTGAAGAGTCTTCTTGAGGAGATTCACACGTCAATGTACGAAAAGTAAGTTCTTCTTTCCTTTCAAACATTTTTGTATGGGGTTCTCGCCGCTCGCAATGCCCATATGAAGGTGACCACCGACTTCGAAGAGTTCAAGAACCTCCTCGACGAGAAGTTCGTGCTGCTTTCGCCCTTCTGCGGAGAGCCTAACTGCGAAGATGACATCAAGAAACACTCGACAAGGTATCGTCAGAATTCCGATGCAAATAGTTTTCTTTAGGGAAGGTGAAGGCGACGCCGGCCAGGCACAGATGGGCGCCAAGACCTTGTGCATCCCCTTGGAACAGGTCAGTGTGCTGATTCATTTATTTTTGCCTAGTCAAAAGTTTATTCCTAAAGACCCGAGTATCAAGATCATAATCTATTGGCTTTGTCGGGTGGTAGCATGGCACGTCTATTTCTCCATCTCCTTCTCCATCTCGATGAGCTTCTTGACACCGTCGTACATCTGCTTGACGGCCTGGTACTCGGATAGACCGAGGCGGGCGCGGTTCGAGATGTCGTAGACGCCGCCTTCAGACTCGGAGTGTTCACCGTGGATGCCGCGGACTTGCAAGTTCAGCTTGTCGCAGATTTTCTGAAGAAGCCGATGTGGGATCGATTTCTTTGATCATACCTTGAAGTCCTTGCGAGCCGACACCTTCGGAAGCTTGATGTGCACCGAAGCGCGCACCGTGGATCCGAGGTTCGTCGGGCAGAATGTCAACCATCCGAGGCGCTCGTCACGCGAGAACGGGACTTGCTTCTCGATGTGCTGAAGGGTTGTATTTGCGTGTGGAAGCAAACTACCCACCTTGACACCCTTGACGAGGCGGTCCAGCACGGCGCCAACATCACTGCCCTCCTGCATCGAGATGATGCGCATGTGGTCTTCCTCGTTCACCCAGATCAGGAAGGTCTTGTCGTTGTTGTGGAAGATTCCTCGACCCTACGGAGATAACATTAAAGCTCCGGAAGTGGGCGCAAACCTTTGGCCAAAAATTGCAGGCGTTGGCGTGCTGCAGATGGCGATCACCCTCCTTGAAAAGGAAGTGGTCGGCGATGAGCTTGTTCTGGTCGCCCTTGGTCATGCCGTCAAGCGGGTAGTATTTGCCCTTCAGCTGGCCGGCGAACGTGTCGAACGCCTTCTTGACCTTGCCCTCCATGGCCAGGTAGTCGTCTTGCTTCAAGCAGGGGTTGAACGGGTAGCCGGCCATCGAGCGACCGCAACTGAAAGGAGCTTCATGGGAAACTGTATTTAAGGAAGCGTAACTTTTAGGTACTAAACTCACCGAATGCGAGTCGACTTGATGTACTTGCCCTTAGGGTCGAGCGGAGGGAATTGGTGGATCTTGTCCTCGCCCAGGTCGACAGCGGGCTGCTTCTCATGGGGCTTGAACCCGTGGTACTCCTCGATGATCGGGTCGAAGAGGCCGGCGAAAACCTTGTACGACTCGGCATCCGGGGCGTACACTCCGACACCAGCGTCGAGATTGAAGACACCGGAGCGGATGCAGTCGTACAGCGTGGCTCCAAGCTTGGTCTTCTTGTGCTTGAGATCGTCGACGACCTCCTTGGTCAGATGCTTCTTCAGCAGCGACTTGCACTTGTCGGCCTCGGGTCCGTTCAGCTTCTTGTAGGCCTCCTCGATTTTGCGGACCGTGTCGGAGTCGACGTCATTCTTCAGCATCGTCGCCTAAAAAATCCTTTAAATACCAAATTTGAATATCTGCACTGACCTGTGGTGTGAAGGCATAGATGGTGGTCCCAGCTCCAAGCGTGGCGAGGAGACTGGCGAGAAGACGGTTGTTTCGGAGAGTTGCAGCCATCACGGGACGAGTACGAGTAGTGACGAAAGTCCCAAGCTAGAAATCGCCGCTTTTTGTAGCAACTTTTATAGGCAAATTGCGGAGAAAATCCGTTATGTCGAAGTCTAGTTTCGAAGTGCTAATTCATCATTGAAATTAATTGAATTGTAACTTTTTTTTTCAGCCGAAGGAAGAGCTACCCACGAAGTGCATCAACCCCGGCTGCCAGCACAAGCCCAAGAACTTTGCCCTCTTCGGCCGCAGCTACTAAACCGAACGCCCTGTTTTCTCTCCGAATTGTTGCTAAATTATTATCCCTCTCCGTTTCTAAGCTATGTGATCAAATTGTTCTCTCGTCAAAAATGGCATTGTTTCTGTGGTTATGGGTTTTAACATTGGTCCTTGATAAACGTTTCAATTCACGAACTCTGGTCAGTTTTCATATGTTTTATCAAGCAAAGATACATGGCTCGATGGTGGTGATGGGGTTAAAGCGTTAAAGCGTTAAAGCTTAGTGATGGAGGTGAAGCCCATCTTTGTGCGCGAGAAGCAAAATAATGACTTTTGCCCGTTCTGTGGCTCTATACTACCCATGGCAGCAGGTAAGCACATTTTTTACACTTATTTAGTGAATCAAGCAGTTTGAAATCAATCAAAGTCGGGAACCGTCTGGCGCTAAATGCTTGACAAACAATGCGTTTCGGGGAGTGGGAACGGGAGCGACAGGGGCCGAGAGGGAGTTGCTGTAAGAGGCTGCGGTCAAGGAAGAAGAGAATGAGAAAAGATCGAGACTTAGACGCTGGCTCTCCATTAGTTGCTCATTTTTTCTCTGCCGGAGAACGGGCGGGTCAGTTGGAAGGTCCGAAAATGTCGGGGCGGGAGAGCAGCCGATTACTAGATCTTCGGCCTCAAGGACTAGGCGGATGAAATAGATTTTGGATGTTGGTAGTAAATAGGCCAAATACCCAGGTTTCAATTAGCTTGTAGAATTGTTTGTGCGCTAGGAACCACCGGATTCATTAAAATTAGATTATATCCAGTGGCAGATCCGAAATTTTCGTTTAGAACCCGGAGAAGTGGAATGTCGTCTATGCGGCACCGTTCTAACCATCAAGCCGAAGGTTGATCAACTGGTGTGCACCAGCTTCAAGGTATAAAAAAAAATTTTTTTGCTCATTTGATTTTTTGTAGAACTACGAACGAACGGTGGCCGACTCGGAGAACGCCAAGCTGTCCGGCGGCGATGCGGAAGTGGATCATGTTTGCACAAAGTAAGGCGCCACTTCATTATACAGTACTTTCTCAGATGCGGACACGATCGAGCAACGTTTTCCACGATGCAAACCCGATCGGCTGATGAAGGGCAAACCGTATTCTACACGTGCCTCGAGTGCAAGAACAAGGACATTGAATATTCCTGACCGCCCCCCATTTTACAACTGTCGTTGCTCCCCAATTCCTATTGTTGAGTTTGACGTTGATTTGTTTCACCTTTATGCGCAGTAAACCATCCTAAATATGTATATCTGAACAAAGACGTGCTACGATGAGAACAAGGTGAAATCGAACCCTGAGAAGGGCCACTTGGGCTTATTAGCGGGGAGAGCGGTGTATCAGAAAGGGTCGGTATCCCGGGATACCGAGCCGTCTGTAGGCGCTGCTCATCCTGGCCTCATTGCAAAGTGAACAACGGCGCACCTACTTCCATATTCGTGATTTTAATCCGAGGGCCCGGTAATCCGTTCCACCGTTCCGGCTAGGGCGTTGCAGGGACAGCTGAATCTTCGATGGCATTCATCGTCGAAGCGTGATTGTTGGATTTTGGAGGAAGCTGACGTATCGATGTAGATCTGCAGCCGACAATTGCACTCCTTTTCGCCAGTGTCACGGTTCAAAATGAGGCTACTATGACACTGTTGCGAATAGGGCTGCAATCGGCACGTACTGTGGTTAATAAAGATGCCAACTGCCATATACACAAACAGAGCTCTATAGAAGTGCTCGTGTATCGTACTGTGCTATTTCGTACTAGTTCGTGGCTCTATGATTTGCTTCCCTTCTGTGTATCTTTGAATGTCTTTGAATTCTTGAATATACAGGGTGGGCCAAAAAAAAAAGTAAAGTTTGGGTCAAATTATCTCGCGAACGGAAACGAATCAGACCATCGTTACCTTGCCAGAATGCTTAAATATGCTGGGTATGAAGAAATAACACAAGTTGTTTTTTAAGATTTTTGACGACCAGTGGGTCGTTAAAAATTTTTGAACATTTTTGAAAAAGTAGAAAGCTTTGAAGCGATAAACTATGCAACTTTTGATGAGTTAGCGGGACTTCAAGGGTATCAAAATGAAGCTCTTGGAATGCGCTATCAAACCAGTGGTAAAGAATTTTGATCGGTTTAACTAACCGTCAATAGGAGCCCTCGGAAAAATGGACTTTTTGAAGAAAAAATTCTAGATAAAATTTCCTTACCGTCCGATCTCGCTGATATTTTGTATCCTACTATACAGGGTGTCCCAATAAAAAAGGTCACGCTGGCATTTTGCTATTTCAAATCTGACCGACTTGAAATTTTGCACAGAGGTGCGGAAGGGAATTTAAAATGTTCACAGAAACTTTCAGCCCGAACGGTACAGTAGTTTTCGAGTTATTGTAAAAATACTGTTTTTCCCACACTTTAGCTTCATTTTTTCGGCTATCTTTTTGGACTTTGCATCAATTAACATAAATTTCCGGCTCTAAATCCCTTATTCTTCTTAACATCGGCGTCGTTAGCCCCTGTTAAAAAATACTTGGCGCTACTTAAGTTTGCTGGCCCCACTTATATTTCGCCAAAACCTCATGTTCCCGGGCTAGTTTTTTGCGCTGATTACGAAAAACACTATCCTAGCCCGCGAAAATGCTATTTAGGAAAAATTAATTTGAATATCGGGAAAATTCCATTTTACGGCGCTTGCGAAAAACTCGTATTTTTGTGGGTTTTTAACTAAATAAATAACCAAAAACTGGTTTACCAAGAAAAAATAAGCTTGTAGCATTGTCAGGCAAGGCGGGCCGTCGCTTCGGATGGGCTGCCGCTCCACTCTTTCGAAATCGGGGCGCCTGGCCGCTGCGCGCGCCACGGGCGCCCCGATTTCGAAACCCTGTACGAGCTCGCACCCATCCGAAGCGACTAGGCCCCGGGTGGCACGAAGCCTTATTTTTAGGAAAAAACGAACGCAAAGGATAAGCCTTCTTGGAAATAGGGTTTTCCCCATTTTATAGGCCTCCCACTTCCACGCCCTAGTTAACCCCTTGAAACTCAAACCATGAAAACTGACAATGGAATTTGTTTTTCCCTTCAAAACACAACTTTCACGTTTCGGGATAGTGTTTTTCGTATTCAGCGCAAAAAACTAGCCCGGAAACATGAGGTTTTGGCGAAATATAAGTGGGGCCAGCAAACTTAAGTAGCGCCAAATACTTAAATAGCCTATTTTCGACCCGAATTTTGCGAAATAAAAAAATTTCTAAGATAAAAAACGGTGGGCGCTTCATTTTCTCCATACATTCCGGGGCTCAATTCCGGCGGAATCCAGGTTAAAAACGTAAAATAAAATTTATTTTTGCTACAACTCTAAAACTACTGTACCGATCGGGCTGAAAGTTTCTGTGAACATTTTGAATTCCCTTCCGCACCTCTGTGCAAAATTTCAAGTCGATCGGATTTGAAATAGCAAAATGCCAGCGTGACCTTTTTTATTGGGACACCCTGTATATAAAAAAATAGTGTCTGTTTGTGTGTGCCACTTTGCATGCAACTTCCGTCAGGCTGTCCGGAGGATATCTCAAGGAGGAAAGGGTATTAGGCTACGTATGATGCGTCATTAGGTGCGTAATGGCCATGAGATGACTGCACGTATATCAGATTTTAAGAAATTCGTAGTTTTCGACATTAAAATTATGTTTTTGTTGTAAAATCGGGAACCCTCTTCGGTAGGAACCAATTTGCATAGGCCGGAAGTCGCGGGAGCCTATATAATCAGCGAGAGAGTGACATTTTTCATTATTCGCATCAAAATGGAGAATCGTAGACCAGTATGCAAAGTGAAGGATATTATGGGGGCTTGACGGGGCCAGGGTTGAAAAGTCGCGAAGCGGCTTTTCAACCCTGGTTTACCAATAAATAGATAAATACTACAGGGTGTATCAAAAAAAAGTTCCGAAGTTTGTCCCCAATTATCTCGAGAAGGGAAAGTATTTCACCGTGCGTTACCATGCCAGAATGCTTAAATATGCTGGGTATGAAGATTTAACACAACTTGATTTTCTCGATTTTTGGCGACGTATCAATACAAATGACACCCGAAAACTGTGCGTTCCGGCAAAAATTCGGTTGCATTTTTCTGAATTGTTGGTGGTCGAGCGGTTTCAGTTTTTACAGTGTGGATACATAAGATCTGCCCCTACGCACATCCAAAATTTTGGAATTTTCGAAGGTCTGGTTGGCAAGTTATAGCGTGCTCAAATTTAGTATGGAGAAATTTCGTAATTAGCGAATAATAAAAAAACTTATGGCGGGAACCTCAAAATAGGTTGTTCTGGAACACCTACAAGCTCTGTACAATCGCACAAACACTTCAAAGAATTTTTTGAGATTAATGAATTTTCAAGTTTTTCAACGACCCCCTGGTCATGGATTTTTTCGAGGGCCCGAAACCGAACTTTGGAAAAATATTTCTAAAATTGCAGATAGAATTTCGGTGTTTGCTTTGCTTCGTTGTGTAGGACTGGGATCCATCTATCATGTAGAGAAATTCTAGCTACCGTACCCCTTTGGAAGGTTGCTTTTTAGCGCCTCCAAAACGGTTGGTTCTTGCTATTTCGCAGACCTTCGCGCTAGTCTATAAAATTCAGTTGCGCGGCTAGAATTGTTGTCATAATTTTATTTAATACTACTTAATGGGCGCATTCTAAGATTATATTTACAAATTTATTGGGCCATCCAATCTCTCAAAAGAAATCCATGAAGAGTCCAAATATACCCGACTTTGACGCAACGTAAAAAAATTCTCGAGGGTTTAGTAGCCCCGACTTTACTGGCGTAGGCCAAGCTTGGGTAGTCAACTAGAACCCATGCAACTACAAAATCTTTTCTTGGCAAACGAATTTAGAAGAGCACCCCAAAGTCGGCTTTTCAAAAACGTTATTTTCGGGTTTTAAATGAAAATTAACCATTAACTTCAGCCAGATCATTCCAGAATTCTGCTTTCATGCACAGTTCGATGCGTGCTTTAATTGTATCCACCAAACCCCGATGCCTTTTTCATTTTCAAAAATTCGATTTTCGAGCCAGGGCGTCGGGTCCAAAATCGGGGTCCGAGGGGGGTTTTCCTCTTTCCCTGATAACTTTGTCATTTGCCACAGGAATCAAGTAATTTTTTGTAGGTGCTCTTACATTCACCCAGAGAACAGTCTAGAATCGAAAAACCGGCATTTTATGGAATTTTGTCTTGGCATGCTAAAAGGCGCTCCAGGTGGGTTACGGTAGAAAACAGAAAATCGCCGTTTTCTCGTTCTTTTCACCATAGAAACGTTTCGATCTTGTGGGAAAACAAATAATAGTAGTTTTTGGTCCGATGCATCAAAATATTTAGACATTTCCGTGGCTAAATTCAAAAATCAGTTTTTTGCATATTTTGGGAAAGTGTATGGCTAGAACTTCGCGATACTTAGCCCATAGGCGACCCTTACTGGTGTTTACGAATGATAAAATTTTAAGCAAAATCGCAGCTTACAATAAAAAGAAAAACGCGAAAAACGAAAACTACAGTATCCCTTTGGGGCACGTTTTAGCAAGCAATAGAAAAATACCATAGAATCATGTAAAATTTGGTGTTGTGCTAAAGATTATCATTCGCAGACACCATTTGCAAAAGATCAGCCATGGGCAGCGTATTTTAAGAGAGTTGCGAATTAAAATGTAAAAAGATACAAAATAGTGAAATTTGTTTTCCTTGTTAAAAAAGAAGTAGAGCTTGAAAAATTATAAGACTTGGCCGTTAGCTTTCTACAAGTGTCAGCAATTTTTGGGCCAAAAATCAGAATTTTCCCACCACCCGTTCAAGAACGCACAATTTTCGGTCGTAACCAGCGTCAATAGTACAGTTGCGTACACAAAAATCGAAAAAATCAAGTTCTGTTAAATCTTCATACCCAGCATATTTAAGCATTCTGGCATGGTAACGCACGGTGAAATATTTTTCCTTCTCGAGTTATTCGGGGACAAACTTCGGAACTTTTTTTTGATACACCCTGTAAATTTTGGCATAACAAATTTTAAGTTCCCGATTAAAAATTTTTTTGGCATTTAGCCAACTCGGCAGAAACCGCAAGTTTTACGTTTACATAGTTAAAAATGTAACATGATTATCTTTGGCAAATAGCATTACATCTAACAAATAGAAAAAGTTACCGTGGCAATGTGCTTTGGCTCTATCCCAGTAACGTGGACCATGTAAGGAATCGTGGACCATAAATAAAATCGTGGACCATAACCGGAATCGTGGACTTTAAAAAAAATCGGGGACCTTAAAAAAAATCGTGGACCGGTAGTCAGAATCGTGGACCCTTGGTGAAAATCGGGGACCATAGATTTGGCCTTGGGGGCAAAATTTGGCGGTGTTCAAAATCGTGGACCATAGAATTCCGTACTGAGCTGACTTATGGTCCACGATTCTGAACAACCGAAAAAAGGCTAGATTGTTCGGAAAAACTGTGTTTAGCTTCCACAGAGCGGCCATGTTTGTTTTTCACACCATTTTTTGCGGTATTTCACATTGTAGCAATGGGCTTATCACTAGTTGGGGGTTCGGCCATAGATTTAGCATAGGAATTACCTACATAATGTCGATTTTACAGAATGCCGATTTTACAGCCTGCCGATTTTACACAATGCCGATCCTTAGAATGTCGATTCTTATAATGCCGATTCTTATAATGCCGATTTTGCGTCTGTTTGCAGGGCGCAAACGTTTGTCCTCCCGTTGAATCCTAGGGTCTGGTATTCAATTCAATTCTGGTATTGGTAATGTTCTGGTATTCAATTTTTTGCGAAAAACCTATGCTTTGGATATTGATATATTGACTCTGTGGAAGCTAAACACAGTTTTTCCGAACAATCTAGCCTTTTTTCGGTTGTTCAGAATCGTGGACCATAAGTCAGCTCAGGACTGAATTCTATGGTCCACGATTTTGAACGCCGCCAAATTTTGCCCCCACGGCCAAATCTATGGTCCACGATTCTGACTACCGGTCCACGATTTTTTTTAAGGTCCCCGATTTTTTTTAAAGTCCACGATTCCGGTTATGGTCCACGATTTTATTTATGGTCCACGATTCCTTACATGGTCCACGTTACTGGGATAGAGCCTGTGCTTTCTATGGTCAACTCGGAACCACCCTTTCTTGAAAAATCCATTTTTTCCGAGAGCTCCTATTGACGGTTCATTAAACCGATCAAAATTCTTTACCACTGGTTTGATAGCGCATTCCAAGAGCTTCATTTTGATACCCTTGAAGTCCCGCTAACTCATCAAAAGTTGCATAGTTTATCGCTTCAAAGCTTTCTACTTTTTCAAAAATGTTCAAAAATTTTTAACGACCCACTGGTCGTCAAAAATCTTAAAAAACAACTTGTGTTATTTCTTCATACCCAGCATATTTAAGCATTCTGGCAAGGTAACGATGGTCTGATTCGTTTCCGTTCGCGAGATAATTTGACCCAAACTTTACTTTTTTTTTTTGGCGCACCCTGTAACTTAATTTTTCAGGTGTGAAGTTCCAGCGGGCCTAGACTGACTGGAGCAGCCATCCAAAGTGTAGCAGTTTTTCAAAATCCCGGATATTTCAAGGTAATCGTGATCGAACACCTTGAGATAGATGGTTGCCTTCTACTATTATCCCCGATGTCGATAGGCGCGAGCGTTTTCCATGGCTAAACGGAAAGCCCGACCACTGACCAGCCGTGGGCAATAATCTCAATTCCCGGTTTTCCTTTAATTCCAAGTCTATAAAACCGGCTTAGGCTCGCAAGCTTCATATTACTAAGCTTTTCTAAACTACATTTTTTCAGGTCGGCGGATGGTGGAGCGACCCGTGGCCGCGCCTCGACGAAAGCCACAAGGCAATAATCCGGTGAGTTTCTTTGTTTAATTGTTAGTATAATTTGAATAATATTGTTCAAAATGCTAAATATATTTTTTCATTTAGTCGGCGTTAATCACCGTCTTCCGTGCCCTCACCACTAGCCAATCTCCCGAACAGCGCGAGGTCCAAACAAATGTATTGGCAAGGGATTGCAAGGAGGTTCAGGACCGAATCGATCTTCTCGTGAAAAGTAAGCTTTTGGAGCTTTCACTAGCTACTATGTATCGTCGGGAATTTTAAGACATGCAAAATTCGTTTTCAGATCATCACCATGACGTTGAAGAAAGTCTAGTGGCGTTTCGAGATGTTTCAACGAAGATTTCCTGTAGGCAAAAACACCGTTTTCAACCCATTTCGTCTATTCAGCTTGTCGGGAACGAATTTACAACGTCCGTAATGCGTTGTCAAATTGCCGGAATCTGTTCCAATCGCGTCGCGATGACCTGAAACGTTTGTGGGAAGAGGACAAGCAGCAGCGCCATATCAACGACATTCTGCAAAAGCTGTGAGGATCATTCTTTATCGGTTAGACTCGTTATTTTAGCGAAGAGCTCCGGGAGGTGAAGCACCGAGTGGATGTGATGATTGAGCAGAATCAGTATTTTGATGCGGCTCGAACGATTGCGAATTCGAGTGAGCCAATTGAGTTTGATTTTTATGCTTTTGCAGGGGATTTGATAGAGACGAAATTCGCGTCGGTCTCCGGTCTCTCGCAGCTACGCGCCCAGCTGGCCGATTCTTCCGAAGCGCTGGCGAAAAAGATCGAGGTTCAGCTGGCCGAGATGGTGGTGCAAGAGCCGTTTGAGCAGCAGGTGAACTTTTTCTATTCTTTTCGTATATTTAATTTCCATCGTTAATCTACGATTCAGATGGTTGACGTGGTGCGCGGGATGCCGGAAGGTTGGATTGGAGAAAGCGAGCTAACGCTGCGCCTCTACCGCAAACTCAATCAGCAACGTCATACGAACAATACGGCTCTGCAGAACCGGATTCAGGTGTTTAAATCAGGAAATCTGTGCAAAAAGCCCCTTTAGGAGCACCTGGCCGCTCTTTCTGTGCTTGATGGGGCGCAGCTTGTCGTCGATCGTCTTTTAGCCCTATCAGCCACGCAGATTTCGAAGCAGGTAAGAGTTATGCTCTTATTCAGCCCGTCGATAGGTTGCCGAATCGGTGCGTTTGATGCGCCAGAAAGCTGCTCACGACGACAATCTCAGCGGAGCCGACAAAACCCACCTTTCCCAGCTAATCCAAATGGTAACTCCGTTCTTACCATGCCTACGCTACTCCTTCAGGTCGTTCGCCAGCTTGAACACTCCCGCGCGGCTCATACAACCCTCGCCGAATGCGCCGCAAAGGTTTTTTGTACTTTCTCGTTTTTCATTTCATTTCAGATCCCTCAAATCGGCACGGAGGCAGCTGCAAAGGTGATGCCCGCCTTCTGGTATGCCGTGCAAAGCGCTGTGCGTGCTTTTCCTTTTTCCTAAGCTTCTCCTAGGTGGAATCAATGGTGTCTGACCACTTGGATATGCCGGCCGGTGGCACGAGACAAGCGAATACCGAAGCGGCCAACCCGAATCTCCGCACGACCATCGTCCAGCTCTTCCGCTTCGACGCAACGGCTTGCTCTTCTGGGTCTTCTTTTGCGGCTCCCTCTTCACAGGTATTGCAGTTATGACTTATGTGAATTTAATTTCAGGCGTCTCTGACGGTTTGCCCGCCTTCCTTCTTCAACATAGTTCCGATGTATCCCTGGTTGCGCCGGTTGATGGAAGCGGTATAATTATTATATTGCTTTGATACGTCTTTTCCAGGTTGAATCTGCGACTGGCACTCAGTTATGCCAACTCCGGCGATTCATCCACAGCTTCGTCATTGAAGAATTTGTGGAGCGAGTGACGGTGGGCCTTATTGTTTGTGGTTTCTAGGGGTTTGAACCTACGAAAAATCGCACTCTTTAATGTTTTTGTTTTACATAAAATTCTTTCTAGAGAACGTTAGAAGGGCGATTGGCCGAGGCGCTGAAGCTGGATGATGCGCGAACTGTGGCTAGCAGCGAATCGGTAATTTATTCCAGCTTTTTAATGTAATTTTCATTCCAGCCAATCCTGCCATCTGCCGAACAAGTCCGAGATATGTGCAATGAAATTAACGAGTTCATCATGCAGATGGATAATTATGCCCCAAGGTTCGGCTAAAGCGTCATAGCTCTAATTTATCAACCTTTTAGATTTGCAGCCGTTTGGCTTCTGGTCCTCTCCGAATACACCCGCCACATCAACGAGCTGTACGAAAAGGTATGCGTCGCTTTCGTTCGACTCAAGCGAAACGCTTTTAGAGGGTAGCCTTATTTTTGCAGGTAAAAACGCTCGTAAATGTCTGTCATGAAGCGTTGCGCATGCTTACCCTCTAATCATATTTCTGGTTCTCTCGCTCATCATATGTTGATTTCGATAGAGTTCGCGTGATCCTCGTTAATAATAATTTTTTTTGTTATAGACAACAGCTCCCGTGTTGGATGGCGATGGGACGGCGCGGCGAAAGATTTCAGCAGCATGGGCTGCCGATGAAGACATTTCACGCCTTCTGATGTCGTTGCCAAATTGGGAGCTGGCGAATCAAGTGTTGCCAGTTGGTCCTTGTCCATTTCCCTAATTACCGGCTCTAGGTAAACTCTCCGGCCTCTGTGCAGACGCCGGCCAATTTGGAGAGCGAACGGGTATTTCAATGGCGCCCTGGTTAACATTGTATTCAGGAAATTCGTGCACTCAACATGCGGGAATCCGATATTCTGATCAGCAACCTTGGCACTCAAAAACAGGTGAATCAAAAAGAGCTTGTAATAACGCTCTGTCTAGATCGCGAAAGGAGAACTGCTTTCCGATTGGTCAGACATCCGGGCCCTTGCCGCTTTACACGAATCCCTCCGGTAGCCGAACGCTTTTTCTCTAACTTTGTTTTTGATAGGTGGTTGTCTGCAGAGGCGCGCAAATTGATAGACTCCCTTCCTTCGAACGTCCGCAAAGCTATACGCGAGCATCCTGTTCATGTCACCTATCGAGACGGAAAAGTGTCGCAAGATGTGGGTTTTTTTAAAATATTGGTTTTGATAATTCTACTTTTAGGAGCCCGTGTTGAAGGGCCTTGATGCGAGCATTAGCCAGTTGCAATCCGTCTCCGCCACCTGCCTTCTCATGCTTCATCTGGAGCTCCGTGTGCACTGCTTCTTTCACCTGTTGCCTCTGGCTCGCCTTCGACAAGCCACATCCCATGAGGACACCGACCCGGAAGTCGTTGAGCTCGGAAAAGATCTCCAGGCTTTCCACTCGCTTCTGGCCACGTACTTGAGCCCGCAAAAAATGAGGTATGATCTACCATGCTAACATTAGTCCTTTCCAGATATATCTTTGACGGTCTTGGGCATCTGTGTGCCGCCATCTTTATCCACTCGAGGTCAGCACCACACACTTTTAGTCAGCGATTATGTATTTTTCAGTCAGCACATGCAACGCCTGACGGAAATTGGAAGAAAACGTGTGACGCGTAATATTTGGGGGGTTCAGCAACGGCTTGCCCAGCTGACAGCCCGTCGCGAAGCTGAACTCGATCGTGCACGAACTTTCTTCGAGGTGATTTTTGGCTTGCAATGATTACGGATCATGCATTTAGTTGCTCTCCCATGAACCGGACGAACTTCTTTGCGTGCTTGCCGATAGAAGGTCCCATTTCTCACATATGGAACTTAATCACTTGGTGGCATTATCTGTCAGGTATAGGCACGACGAATCCAACAATTTTCTTAAGATCCCATCCTACTCTTTCCTGTCAACGCGGCGCTCTTGAAGAAAAACAATCTCAACTGCGAGAAATGCTGAAAAAATAGGAGCTCGACAAAACTGTGATATCTATACTGTGTATTTCCTTTGCATGCATAAACCTTCACTTCTGGTACCACCATCAAGGAAATACCTGGTCGGACAAAGAGAGTTGCACACCAGGGGGGCCCTGCTACCTTCTGCGACAGGATTTTCCAAGCAATATCGACGCGTGGGTTTCGCTTTGGTCAAAAGCAAAATTGGTGCTAATGCACTTGAGGGGGGGGGGGTTGACTACGAGACGCTCCAAATGCCGTTTTTTAAACTCGAAGCCCCTTGAAAAGCTAAGAGGCAAGCTAAGCTTCTCGGTTCTTTTTGCGCGGCCCAGTGCGCGGGACTCGGGCTTGCGCGGCCCCGTGCGCGGGTCTCGGAAAATGCGCGGGGGGGCGCGCGGCTGATTGCGCGGGACCGCGCTTTCTCCCGCGCAATCAGCCGCGCAAGGAGGATGCGCGGTCCCGCGCATGTCGTGCATCGTTTTAAACGTACTAAGCGACAAACTCGTGGCATTTTGCGAATTTTCACTCCTGACAAAGTCAAGCTTGGAAATGGAACTCGGTCGACGATGGGCTGGAAATAAAAGGTGACTTTACTTTATAATGATATTTACGGACTTTTTTTAGATCCAACCAACAGCATTTTCTCACAACTTTTCATCCCCAAGCCAGTTCTCCCCGAAAAACATGACATTGGAAGGCCGAAGGACGATCCCGTGAATTTTTTTGGCAGTGAGGTAAGATTTTTGGTTTTTCTTTTTTCTCTGAAGTTTTTTGTTTTCTACAACGAGTTTGTTGACAGTAAACTTTTAGACAAACATCCTCAAAAATCTACAACTACAAAGCAGCGATTGGAACGGAGCAGGCGTGCTGCACAAGTCCGAGTAAGCCGGCCAATTGCGACCCATCGAATTCACGGTAAAAGGATAAACTCTAATTAAAAACCGGCTTAGAAACACGCGGCCGAAGTGCCCATCTTTGAGAAAGCAAAACCAGAACCAGCGGAAAGCAAGCCACGTGCGGTCGCGGCTACCAAGAAGCCTGGAGGTCTTGGTAAACTTTGCTGAAATTGTATTCTAGAAATGCTTTTTGGAGGGAATTCGCCAACGTAACGAAGCCACTGGCGAGACGAATGGGGGTGAAGCGAAAGTTGCGCAGGCTGAGCCAAATCACGAGAATGATTGGGTGAACGCGAATACGAAGGTTGGAATTAAACTGATATAGTAAATTACTACTTTCAAAGCAGATTTTTTGCGCTCTTGTAAGCGTTCTTGATGCTCGCTGGTGACATATGAGAATCCGGTGAGCATGCTATTTTTTATAGGCTTGAGGAATCGACCGGCCAAGTTTATATGCGGCGGCAAAGTCAAGCCGGTCAGTAAAGTGAGTATTAATTGAATATCAACGAAAGGTTGATTTTTAGCAACTGACTTTGGTACAGGTAAGTTCAAAGGTAGCAAGCGAAAGTTCAACCAAAAAATATAATCTCAGGTTCACCGTCAAGCTCGACCCGATATGCAGAAAAATAGCCTATCTTTTCGATTGTTGTGATATATTTATGATCAATAAATGTCTGACATATCCACATACACTTCCGTCGCAGTAATACCTGCTTTTAAAGCAGGTTTAAACATTGTATTGAGTTTTTTATAAGGGGGAAAAGCCCCCATGGTGGTTTTCGGCGGAAGCCGCGCATAGTCCCGCGCAATGGCCCGCGCATTAGCAAATGCGCGGGACCTGTCGCTTGCCATTGCGCGGCCCGCGCATTTGGGCGCGCACTGGGCCGCGCAAAAAGAACCGAGTTAGTTCTAAGCTAACCCATAAATAAGCCCATTTTGACCTCGTAAGTCAATTTGAAGCTCAAGTTAAGCTTAGTTTGGCTTAGGATTAAGCCTGCCTAAGCTAGGCTTAGTGAAAGCTAACTTAAGCCTAGGCTTACGCTGAAAACCAAGTAGCTTAAGCCGAGCGCCTCGTAACCCCTTTACTACCAATCTTGGGCTGCCCCCGGCTACGGTTTACTTTACCCCCCAGCCGGAAGTTTTTGGCTATAACTTTTTTATTTTACATTATTGTAGGACGAAAATACCGACAACTTTGATGCACGACGACGACGACGACACGACGCAACTCCCCTTCAGTTTTATTAAAAGGTTTGATTCCTTGTTGCAATTGGCTAAACCTCGCTATTTGCAGTCAAAAACATCGCGACTGAACGGTTCTGACCGCATGGTGCAATACCATGCCCCTTCTTGCCAAACCCAATCCTAATGTTATCGTGTGCATTTCCCGATAGCATGTGCGCAGAATTTCAAAGAGGAAGGTGTTTATTTAAAAAAATAAAATATCAACAATTTTACCCTTATAGGTGGGAGAACAATGAGAAACAAAAACAAAGCCGAAAATATTTTTATTTCTTCTTGCCAGCGGCGCCACCAGCCTTCTGCGCAGCCTTGGTGACCTTGCCTCCCGCTCCATCAGACTTGTCGACGCTCTTGATAACTCCGACAGCGACCGTTTGCCTCATGTCACGGACTGCGAAACGGCCAAGGGGAGGGTAGTCGGTGAAAGCCTCCACGCAAAGAGGCTTGGTGGGGTGGAGCTCGACAATTCCGGCGTCTCCGTTCTTGAGGGCCTTCGGGTTGTCCTCAACCTTCTTTCCGGTACGTCGGTCGACCTTCTCCTTCAGCTCGGCGAACTTGCAGGCGATGTGGGCGGTGTGGCAATCCAGCACGGGGCAATACCCGGCGGAGATCTGTCCAGGGTGGTTCATGATGATGACCTAAAAAAAATATATTTAGACAATCCGAGAAACAATGATTCAGCTTCTAAAAAAAATTCACCTGAGCGTTGAAGGTGCGGGCCTCCTTGGCGGGGTCGTTCTTGGAGTCGGAGCAGACAGATCCACGACGGATGTCCTTGACGGAAACGTTCTTGACGTTGAATCCGACGTTGTCACCGGGTACGGCCTCTGGGAGAGACTCGTGGTGCATTTCGACGGATTTCACCTAAATAAGCGTATAGGAATAAAAGAAAGCTGGTATACCTCAGTGGTGACGTTCTGGGGAGCGAAGGTGACAACCATGCCGGGCTTGATGATACCAGTCTCGACACGGCCGACGGGGACAGTTCCGATACCTCCGATCTTGTACACGTCCTGGAGGGGAAGGCGGAGAGCCTTGTCTGTAGGGCGGGCTGGGGGGATGATGGAGTCCAGGGCATCGAGCAGGGTCTTGCCGCTGGCGTTGCCCTCCTTGCGGGTGACTTCCCATCCCTTGAACCAGGGCATGTTGGCGGAGGCCTCGAGCATGTTGTCGCCGTTGAATCCAGAGATCGGGACGAAGGGAACGGTGTCGGGGTTGTAACCGATCTTCTTGATGAAGTTGCACACCTATAGAACAATAAAGCGAAGATAAATTGAATTTACCTCAGTCTTGATCTCGGTGAAACGAGACTCGGAGAAGGGAGGTTCGGTCGAGTCCATCTTGTTGCAGGCAACGATGAGCTGCTTGACACCAAGGGTCTGGGCGAGCAGAGCGTGCTCGCGGGTTTGTCCGTTCTTGGAAATTCCGGCCTCGAACTCTCCAGTGCCGCAAGCGACGACGAGGACAGCACAATCGGCCTGGGAAGTACCTGAAAAAAAAGGTAATTTAGGCAAGGTTAAAAATATTTACCAGTGATCATGTTCTTGATGAAATCACGATGGCCAGGGGCATCGATGATGGTGACGTAGTACTTGGCAGTCTCGAACTTCCAGAGGGCGATATCGATGGTGATACCACGCTCACGCTCGGCCTTCAGCTTGTCCAAAACCCAGGCGTACTTGAAGGATCCCTTGCCCATCTCCTGGGCTTCCTTCTCGAACTTCTCGATGGTACGCTTGTCGATTCCTCCGCACTTGTAGATCAAGTGTCCGGTGGTGGTGGACTTTCCGGAGTCGACATGTCCGATGACGACGATGTTGATATGGATCTTCTCCTTGCCCATTGTTTGAAGTTGCTTCTGCAAAAAAGAAATGATTAGGGGTAGAAGTTTTTGGCGAATGGCGAGGACAAAAAAGGCGCAAAACAATCGAAGCGAAACCGAAAACTAGAAAAAACACGTCAAGTCCGAACAGGAATGAAAAATGAGTAAAGCAGTGAAATGATTGTGGGACAAAATGTGGGGACCCTCCGCCCCCTGAGTATCGACCCTCCGTGGCAGCCCTTCGCACAGGGACTCGCCACGCAGGCTGCGTGGTTTCGTTCAAATCCTACAGTAAGATACCTACCGCGTACGTTTCGTTGCATTGTGCAAGATTTCGTTGCGTGGATGGTTATGAAAGTGAGGGTCTTTGAAAAATTAAGAAAGGCGAAGCCTTGAGACTTCGCGTATCTAAATTTGTATGAGAGAGTGGGAAGAATTTGAAGTTGACAATAAAAAAATGGGTTTTGAAGACGATGTTTTTTGACCACCACGTTTATAGATTAGTAGGTGACGAAACGACTTCTCGTTGATATTTGAATTTCCAAAACTTTCTCCGAAGCCGTCGGCTTTGCATCGATCTCTCTGCGTCTCTCTTCACCGGGCTTCTCCATGGGGCGACTGGCGTAAACATCCCCTCCCCCTCCAGAAAAAACGTGGAAAACAAGTGGGGGCCCACGAGGGTCATATTTTCTGCAATAGATTTTAGATTTTAGCTTTTACGGATTGTTGCACGACCCTTGCGGCCCAAAACGTTGACAGAACAGTTCCAATTTTAATAGTAATCGTAATTTTTAGATGGAAATTGGTTATACGAGGCTTACTAAGCGATAAATTACTGCGAAAACAGGTCAATATCGGTCTAGTTGGGTATTGAAGAAGTTTTCGGAAGCCCTATACATAAGTTTCATATAGCGTTGACATGCTTTCCTTTTCTGACATACAATTTTTCTTTCCCAATTTATCCATTTCATTACAGGCGGATGAACTTTCTGGAGCTGATCCCGAACTCGCTGCAATTTTGGCCGATAACTGAATTCGTCACGCCGGTTCCGCCACCATCAGGAGCAGCGCCACAAGTCGTCACGATGACCGGGCCGATACTTCGCTTGGCTGGGGTCAGCGGGGCAGCAGCTGTTATCCTAGGCGCTTATGGATCTCATTGTAAGTTTCTATTCTTGCTTGGGTTTAATTTAATTTACCCATTAGCTCGTACTTCTTTTTTAACAAACTGATTTTAACAAATTTCAGCATTGAGCAAATCGGCGGTGGTTGATGGAAGTCGGCTAAAGGCATTTGACACGGCCTCTCGCTACCACCTCATCCACTCCGTTGCCCTGTTGGGCGCTCCCTACGCCAAGTTCCCCAAGCTGACATCAGCTTTAATTGTAAGCCCTTGTCCTTCATTTCTTTTTATTTATTCTTTTAGGCGGGCGGCATCCTCATCTTCTGCGGACCCTGCTACCACTACAGCATCACCGGCAGCGAGGCAATTCGACGGATCACACCGACCGGTGGCATACTCTTTATCCTTGGTTGGCTTTCTTTTATGCTTTAGTTTTTTGTTTGCTTACGGTCACGGGTAACACTATAGCTTTTCGTTACGTAGTTGTAGAATTTTTTTATGTGTGGTAATTCTAATTTGATAAACGTTATTTTGCGAAATTGGTACAGGATAAAACAATTAATACATGTTTACCCGTAGGTACAAATGATCACAGAATGAGAGATCTGTCTGAGGGACTGTTGGGCCCCATCTTCCTATCAATACATTAGTCGGCGTCCGAATCGCTGTCGTATTCATTGAGCTCGTCTTCATTAGTGCGAGTGGCCCTCATTCGACTAGTCAAAAGCGCAGAGGTCTGAAATTACCTTGTTTTGCATGTTCATCGGCAGATTGACCTGGTTAATCTGGCTAACCTCGGGATCTTTTGCCATTGCCAGTGCTGTCTTGCTTTCATCATTTTCTGCCCAGACATCCACGTCTCGTTCTAAAATTTGGCCGATAATTGTTACTTTTAAGTACCTAGAAGCAATTTAACACACTGGGGATGTCCGCGCCAGGCAGCTGCATGCAGGGCAGTGTCGCCGATTTTGTTCTAAAAAGTTCTCGACGTACTCGAGGATTAGAGACTTACTTTTGCCATAATATTGATTTTGGTGTTTTGTAGGAGATATTTAGTCATTTCCAAATGCCCTCCATGACAGGCCCAATAAAGAGCCGTGGAGCCGGATTTGTCGAGACTGTTTATCGAGACCTAAGCTTTCGTGAGCGATCAAAAATTCTTTGTAAGAAAACCTCATTTTGCAGGCATTCCGTCAAAAACTCGATATTTCCACGCTTTGCGGCCTCGTGGAGAGGATTAGGCAAATGTTCCACCTTTTCACTAACAACTAAAAGGAGTGTGTTTGCGTTTGAATCGACAAACCATAGTTAGCAGGGACCAGGCCTTTCTGGCCACCACATCGAGCACTCAGCCAATCGGCATTTGGTCCTTCCTCGGAGACATAGACGAGATCGCCCTCGGAAAACGACATTTCTTGGTCCTAAGGGGGAGAGTGTGCTCCAGAATTCGACGGATCGTACCGAGCGAGCCTGGTAATCATAGAGGGCGCGAAAAACGCGGATGCGCCCGGGTCGTGGTGGACGGGGCGGTGGGGCAGTCATCGACATACCTGAAATGGTTTTAGGTAAGGACGCTTTCCACTGTTTGGCATTGATTTTTTTTGAAGGAAAATAGATAGTGGATTCTAGTTCGTTAGCGGGGGAGCATTTTTTGACAATAGCGTCTCTTCGCTCCCGCTATTTTTAGAATGTTTTCGTCGAAATCTAGCATAGAAAACAGTTTTTTTAACGTCTTATTATGGTTTTTGCCATAACGATTTTAGATTCCAGTATTTTGAGTTACAACTAAGGCGCTTATAGTAAAGTTTTTGATGCTCTACCAGATCTGGGGTAAGGAATCCCGAAATAAAAATTGGTAAAACGTCGAGAAACTGGAACAATGACCTCCCCATACCCCCCCTTCCCCGTTAACAAACTAGCACCGAATAGTTTTTAGAAAACGATGCGTGCTGGCCCTCAACGCGCGTTTTTCAGACAAAGACGGTTGCCTAGAGAAGACCTTTAGAAGAGACTCATACCCCCAGAGGCAATGGACTTTTGGGAAAGAAGTCAAACAGTGGCTGGCGACGACGAAAAAGAAGAAAAAGAAGAGATTGTTGTGTGGTGGGGCAATGAGTAAGGGGTGAGGAACGGAAATCAATCGATCGGAGGGCTGCTCACTCGCTCTCTTTCTCGCTCTCCGTCTCGTCGACCCTTGTTTGCCTTGTTGGGCTGTCAGGCCTGCCCCGCGGGTGGCCCGCCTGAACTGCCAATGGGCGAATAGTAGCACTGATTAGGGGGATGTTGAAAAAAATCAGTAATTTTTTAGGTATAATTTTTCGAAAAAAAATCCACCGGTTAATTTAACCTAAAGCTAGTTTTTTCCCAAGTAAAGAGGGTTACCTATACTAAAAAGTTTTATATAAATTAATTTGATTGATATTTTTATCTGATTGACGTAAAAACTCTAAAACTAGATTGTTTTTGAAATTTTGAGTTTCCGGAAGTGTGAGTTTTAATTAGAGATGTTTTTATTCAGATATGATATGCATCCAGATATATCGCATCTGAATAAGCCATCGGAATTGAAAAAATCCTATATGCGATATAGATAATCGTATCTGAATTGGAATCCGACCCACCGAGATACGAGACTATCGGAATAACTTTTGCATATCGGATTAAGGGAAATTAGGGCGCTCGGTAGGCGATAAAATGGATGCAAATCGTAGGATCTTGTCTCGGAAACGCCTAACCTTATGCTCTTTTATGCAGACAGACCGTACGGAGCAAAGTAATCACGGAAATAATGTATTTTCTGCTTATTCCGATATGCAAATGTTATTCCGATATATCGTATCTGGGATTGAGCCTCACCGATCCTCGATGCGATAATCTTATCTCTATTTCCCCGGCTTCAACCCAGATACGATATGCAAATCGCCTTAAATGCAAAATTTCGGATATCGTATCTGAATAAAAACATCTCTAGTTTTAATATACAAGATTTTTCGTAAAAATTACAGAATTCGGTGCTTTTGCATTATCGGGGGATGTACAGGGTGTCCCAAAAAATACGACCCATCTGGCATTTCGCCGTGTTACATCCAATCGGTCCCAAATTTGGACCAGAGGTGCATCAGACCCTAAATAACAACAATCCTGACTTATAGCTCGGTAGCTAAAGTCGTTCTCGAGTTATAGCAAAAACAAACTTTATTTTCTATTTTTCATAGGGTTTTCGTGGAATTAGACCCCCTAAACATTAAGTGAAAATGATCCGGTAGGCCTTCTTTACCGTAAGAAATTTTTTCCAGATAAAATTAATTAAATACGCTTCGATTTAAACAATTTTTACAACGCAAAACTACTCCAGTTCTTAAACGAAATTAGGGATTCGCAGCCGGAAGTCGATGCAAATCGATGCAAAGTCCAAAAAGATAGCCGATAAAACTGTTCAGAATTCCGGCAAAAACCGTATTATCGTTATAACTTTAAAACTACTGTAGCTATGGGGCTGTAAGTCAGGATTGTTGTTATTTAGGGTCTGATACACCTCTGGTCCAAATTTGGGGCCGGTTGGATGTAACACGGCGAAATGCCAGATGGGTCGTTTTTTTTGGGACACCCTGTAGTTGTTCTACTAGAAAATAGAGAAGCTATTTCTAAATCATTTTTACTGTTGCTAAGCGTAAGAACTTTACAAGTTTTTGGTAGAAATACCAAAATTTAGATTTTTCGGGAAAAAGGGTCGATTTTCGATAAAATTTCAGGGATTTTTGGCTTATAGGGGGGATAGGCCTCCACCCCTACTAATGCGAAAGAACCCAGAATTCATTTAAAAAACCAGATGGTTACAGTCGCTTCGCGACTGCAACCATCTGGCCTTCGGGCTATCCTACATGCCCCACTCCACCACATCCTTTCCCACCTCCATCAATACCGCCGATAGCGGAAATCCCGTTCAAAAACTACCTAAATACCTTCCTGATGGCTTCAGATACCCCCCATGGCTGAAATCCCCTTCAAAAACTACCAAAATACCTTCCTGATGACCTTAGATACCTCTCCTAGCCGAAATCCCCTTCAAAAACTACCTAAATACCTTCCTGATGGCTTTAGATACCCCCCCCATGGCTGAAATCCCCTTCAAAAACTACCTAAATACCTTCCTGATGGCTTTAGATACTTCCCCCTAGCTGAAATCCCCTTCAAAAACTACCTAAATACCTTCCTGATGGCTTTAGATACCCCCCCCATGGCTGAAATCCCCTTCAAAAACTACCTAAATACCTTCCTGATGGCTTCAGATACCTCCCCTAGCCGAAATCTCCTTAAAAAACAAAAATAACGACCGACCGGATGGAATGAGAGAAAAAAAAGAAACGAAATCCCCGTGAAAATTTTCATCCACGAAACGCGCGCCACCTGGCTCACTATGTCCAAAATCGCCCCAACCTCCGTCCCCCACCCCTTTTACTAAGGAAAAAACTTTCAAAGTTAATTTTAATAATTTAAACTAAAACTTTTTCATAATTTTTTTATCAGTTTGGGGGTTTCTGACGGCGCTCTATCCGAATCCGAAGAGAGCTAAGCTCTAGCTCCTTTCCCCTTCGAGTTGAATTCGGCTTCACACAGACGGACGCGTCAAGAAAATTATTATAGTTCATCTATAAGAGTTCTTCTAGAGACGATTTCTTTAAATTTCATTCAAACAAAATATAAACGATTTATTTTACGTTTGCGATTTTTATTTTCGTGAAGGCTAAAGAAGTCCTCTCTAGAATAAATAATGTTACTTACCTTTAGGCACATAGTTAAATGCTCGTTTTGGCATACTTTACGTCAGTAACCCTAAATTTTTAGGGTATGGCCTTTTTTCCAGAATCACACCGGCCATTTCGCCATTGCTCTTCAATGGTGGCGATCATCTGTTCGGCTACACGGCGTGTCATCTGGAGAATGCGCCAATTGGAGGGACACGACAAGACTCTAGCCCGATCCCCCGATAAGAAGGCACAAATTTCTGGCGGGTGGCCTACACTATTCGTGGTGGTGTCCCGGTGGCTGTGCTGCAAAATCAGAGCCCGGCCTTATCTACTCCGGGAATATTCCGGGAACGCCTCTTATCATTCCCGGAATCTCCCTGAATCTCCCGGAATTAATTCCGGGAATGATTCCGGGAATCGATTCCCGGAATGCGTTTTCATCTATTCCGGGAATCCCGGAATAGATTCCCGGAATGCTATTCCGGTAACCCATTCCGGGAATCAATTCCCGGAATGATTTTCATCTATTCCGGGAATTTTAGGTAAATTCCCGGAATGTAATTCCGGGAATAATTTTGTTAAGGCTGGGCCTACCCGACCAAAAGGTCGGGTAACCATTCCGGGAATCTAGGTGAAACACCACCAAAATTCCTGAAAATTTCACAGTAGCTTAAAAGGGGCTCCATTAGCTAATATACAAAGTTTCAAATTAATCGGGTAGTTCCCAGCGAAGTTACGGAGAATTTTGGAAGTTAAAAAATTGAAACCTTTATTTACCGGCAGGAATGCTATTGGCTACCGCTTCATACAAATACTGGAATTTTTCGCTTTTAACAACTACATTTTTTAATTCGAGGAATTTTCAAGTGTTTGAATTCCGGGAATGTGCTGAGATTCCCGGAATAGATGAAAACTATTCCGGGAATGCATTCCGGGAATCGGTAAAAATATTCCCGGAATCATTTTCATCTAATTCCGGGAATCTATTGCGGTAACCGTTCCCGGAATAGGTTCCCTGAATAGAGATGAAAATGATTCCGGGAATGTTTTTCCCGATTCCCGGAATGATTCCCGGAATTATTCCCGGAATAGGTTCCCGGAATGATTCCCGCAATAGATAAGGCCGGGCTCAGTAGGTGTGGCTGTGGATTTGAGCGGAAATATAGTTCCCCATCTATTTCAAGGATACATTTCTCGCCCTCCACAACACAAATTCCACTTTGGGGGGAGAGCGTGTGAAAAATGGGTGGGGTGGGGGGAAGATGATTGATGAGAAGTATCAAGGGGCTGGAAATAGATTTGAACACAGATACAGTAGCCCGTTTTTAGGGGGATTTTCTGGGGGTTTTGACACGTGATAAAGCTAGATGTGATTTCGTTAAATGGTTCCTTAGAGATAAAAATGTCAGAAAAACTCAAAGTTTTTCGCGGAAATCCGCCCATTCTTTCGCTAATTTTAAAATCATCGGAAAATATTCAACCCGAAAAACTGAAAATTCGCATTTCGTAATCGTTTAGCTTCTTTTGAGTAAATAAACATATTTAGGCTGATTTTAGACGTTGATAGGATGGGTTTGAGAAAATAGGTAAAAAAATAGCTGAGAAATTACGAGAAAAATACCCCTCTTAGGGCTTCACCGAAGCCATCGTTCAGCTAGCTAAAAAATGAGCCAAATTCTTCAAGTTTGATAGTTTTTAAAGCGTAATTAAACAAAACTTAGAAAAGAGCGTTTCTTAAGCTGATTTAGAGTTTTTTATTGACATCGATAAGGTCACCGGAAGAATTGAATTCTTAGGATA